ACATATAAAAAGCCATATTATTTATATCAAGCAATCGTTTTTGAACACATTGGTATTTACCTTTCATATTTTCCCCATTATCATACCATTGACCACGAACATAATTAATATCAAAATCAAGAGATTTTAGGGCATCTTGTAAAACATTAAAAAGATCTAGACAAGTTGTATCTTCTACAATTAAAAACTCTAAAAAAACTCTTCAACTTTTAATGGAACACTTTCCAAATCTACACATCTTATAATCTAAGTCATTTGTTCGTGGTGACTTGCATCCGGAGTGCAATAAAAAATTACAGAAAAATATTTTGCCATTTTGATTTTTTTAATAATTGCACATTTTACCTCGGATGCTAACATTTCAATTAATTCATTTTGAATTTTATCTCTAAGATAATGATTATGTTTTTCTTTGTCTTTAATCATTCGAAAATGTTCTTTCATTACCAGATCTCACTCCACAATCGAATCAATTACACTTAAAAAATTGTCATTTGAGTTTTCATAAAATTTTTCTTTTGTACTACGAAAAACCAAGTTATTTTTTGCTAAAAATTTTACAACATAAATAATTCTAACCATAACTTCTTTTCAATGTTCGGTATCTTTTTTTTTTAATCATTTCTTGAATTTCTTTGTCAATTGTTTTGTTTTTATTTAACCCAATTCGCGTTTCATTCCATGTTCTTAAATTGTCCATATGATCAGAATTATTTTCATGTTGTTTTAATGTTTCACTAAGATGCTTCCAATCTTTAATTCTTTCGGTTGCCAAACTACTTTTAGTTCGAACGGTTTTAAACAATTTACAACAAAAACAAAAAACTTTATCATGTTCTTTTGAATACACTAACCATTTTCTATCAAAAGAATCACAATTTCTTAATTTACGAATAAAAATCAAATGAAAAATGTCTACCAAGTGAATATTTTGGAAAAATTATGTTGGTATCAACTTCTCTATTTAACCCTTTTTCTATTAGTAAATCTTTCATTTTGAATCTAAATCATCTCATACTCTAGGATAAAAAATATTAAAATTACTTGGTTTATCTTAGCAAAAAAATCATTTTTTTTTCAAAATCATTGAAATATCAACCTAATCATTAGAAGTACTAGGTGGAACATTAAAATTATTAACCGGATCATTAGAATTTTGATTTCTAACAAAATATTTATTCAAAGACCCTCTTAATTGATTAGCCTTTTCTTGTTATTTACTTTTTCGTTTTCTATTTTGAGCACCCAATGGGTGTTTTCGGGGAAACATATTTAAAAATCAGCAAATCTAATTTTAAAAGCTAAGCAAAGAAAAAAAATCAATAAATCTAATTATAAAAGCTAAGCAAAGAAAGATACAACCTGACCAAAGTTTTCGTTTTTATTTCTCACTTTGAAGATGTCGATAATCTGAAAAATAAAACATAAAATCAGAAATACAAATCTATTTTCAACAACTACCGACTAATAACACTACAATGAAATACATATATACCTTTTAAGAGACTAAAATACAAAGCAGTAGATTTCAAGATTTCAAAATAAACAAAAATCAACCTCCCAAGTCTTGATTCACATCACAGAAACAAGAACAAAACTTTAGAAAAGGACTTCAGAAATTTGTTTTATAAACAAACCATAATAATCAAAATCTATACCTGAAGTAAACCATAAATCTCATATACCAAACAACAGAATATGATGCTCGAATTTGTATCATAAACAAAAGATTACTTTTTTTTTTTTATATTATTGTAATCAAACTGATGCAATCCAACAAGTAAGAATAAAAATTCCTGACTCCTAAAACAAATCGTAAAAACCATATTAAGAGGTGATAGATTGATGCAACAGGTTTGGTGTTCAAACAAAAATAAAAAAAATCATTTGAAGAAAAGTAGAGAACTTACCCTAATCAGTTTGAAGAGCAGAAGAGAATCTAGAAACTGAGAAACTACACGTCTTTCGCTCGTTTGTTGTCTATTTGACTATTTGAAAACAATAAAAAAAATCCAAGTCTGCAACTCCTACAACAAATCACAATAATCAATTAATCATATTAAGAACAAAGAAACGATGATTGATGGCAACAAGTTTACTAGTTTAGCAAAATCACAATCAATTGAAGAAAACTCACCTAAAAATCGAGTGGATGGGAATGAAGAATAGAAATCGGCAACATCAATCAGGTTGTGTCTCCAGTCTCAAGGTTGTGTTTGATTTCTTGGGTCCCTTCATTTGTTGTCGTTGAAAAGGAAATCAATCTTGGTCTTCGAACTTAGTATTTAGAAATAAAAAAAAAATAAGAGAATGAGATGTTGAAAAGATCGATTGAATGTATCAGTTGTAGAGACGATAGAATAAGAAATTGAGAGGAAGGAATGAGAATCAGCAAATCAAACCACACAACAAATAGTTCAGTCGATTTGAACGTTCCGTCGACTCCTCGATCTCCCCACTGTCCGATTTTCAAAATTTTTAGCTTTTCCATTTGATGATTGCGTTCTCAACTTGGCGCTCAAGAATTCAGTGATGCCCCCAATGCCAATCGTTGCTCCTGTTATTCTTGGATTGAAGTAATTAGACTTAATTTTTTGGGCCAAAATTGCACACACACATTTATATATATATATATATATATATATATATATATATATATATATATATATATATATATATATATATATATATATATATATATATATATATATTAATTGTTGGATAAAAACTATGCCATTATTTTTTTTGATGCTCTGGGCTTAAGCCTAACTTGCCCATGTAGTTGAGTCGCATGCTTTCTAAAAGTGCAATTCTTATCTGGTTTATATTGTTGTATAACTTTGTATTTTTTAATAGAAGCAAGAATCGCACACGATAAGAACACAAGTATCTGTAAAATAGATATGAAAGTGGACGTTACCCAAAAATGGATGTTGGAAAATCCATTCCATATCCTTCACTTGCATTAACTAATACATTTGTTTTTCAAGATCGAATGTAGTTGAGTCGGATGCATATGTTGTCAAAAAGGATCTCATGTTTGACTTATTTATTTATTTTCTTATTTATTTTAATTTCTTTACAGGTAAATTAACATTTGCATTACTAAAATGATGTTTGTGTGAAGTAACTATGAACAAAGAGTGTTTCTGTTTTGCAACCATCTAAAGTTTGGTAAATGACAATTTTACACTTCTTTTTTTACGACGTTTTATTTTCATTTTTTTGTAAAAATATTTGAACTTTTGCAATATATAGATTACGGACCGCACATCTATACAAATTATTCTAACTTTTTGACAGCTTAATCTAAAGTCACCTCATAAGAATTCGACACTCAAAATGCTTTTTAACTTGCTACCAAAGGAATTTCTCATCGGTGCTTTTGTCATGCTCTTTTATAAGAAAATTAGCCCTTCATGTATACTTGGACAATTGGATTTGATTATGGACTGCACATCTACACGAACTGGTTACTTATTATAGTTTTCAATTTCATTTTTGAAGAGTAGACTCTTCATATATTCAAGAACTGTTGAGTTTTATGCCAACTTATTGCGACACGAAACAAGGTTTTCATTGCAGCCATTTTTTATTCTTTTATTTGTTCTTTTAGTGTATGATACAAAATTAGATGAGTTAGGCCAATGTTATGAACTATCATTATCGGGTTTTATACAAATTATAGCCTTATACTCTGATTTTTTTTTCCTTACAACGAAATTATGTTGTTTTTCCTTTTGTTTAAACCCAAAAAGAACTTAAATGAAAATAAAAAATGACAGATAATTCAACTAAAAAGACAACTTATGACATTTCAGATTCTAAAGGACATTTGACAGTTTTCATATAGGTCGGATTTGTCTTATCCATCAAGAAAAAGGAGCATTTTGCCCCTTGATTAAAATTGACTTATATTTGGAGATTTGTATAAGTTGATATTAATACCCTTAATAAATGTTATGATAAACACATGATAGAAAAACACAAGGGTATTGTCGTAACTTGAGTTAGAAACAGATTTACTTTCAGGATTCTTGAAAAATCATTTATGTTATATGCTAATGTCCAATGATCATCAACGCCGGTCCTTTCAACACCTTAGAAAGTTGAACAAGAACATCAGAGGAGAGAAGAGTGTAAACATCATGTATGTTTGGAACTAAGAAAATCAATGGTTGTAATAAAAAATGCAAAAGAGCTTGAAACAATAATTCTTTTTGAAAGGTTAATTTTTTTTTTCTTTCTAAAAAGTAATCTGTTGCAATGAGTCAAATATAATTCCCACAAGTGTTTGAGGATCCTCCTATACCAAACATATTATTATTATTATTATTATTATTATTATTATTACAAATCAATAATAAAACATTAACTCAAAGAAAATATAAAAAGTTGTAAATTTTTAGAAAAAAATATGAATGTAATTAACAAATCGACTGATGCACTACAAGCTCTAACCGTAGCAATAATTTGTATTGCATTCATTAATACATTAGCAACAAAGAAAAAGACAACTTTACATTTACATTGATTTCCGAACCTAAGAATAATATAAATTAAAAAGATATAGTCTTGAATGTACTTATATGTGATAACGAAGGTCTTCAAACTAATAAAACAAAAAACGTTATTTATAAAGAGATACTTCATTGATTATAGATATTCAAATATTTTATTGATTTTTTCAATGTTACCAATAACATTAATTCTATTTCCATTCCTTTATTTTTAATTATTCTTCTGCCAACATTTTATACTTTTATATGTAATTTTTTATATATTCTCTACATTTTACGCATGTTATAATCTAGTTTATTAAAAAATTTATAAAAATGATATAAATTCTTTAGGAATTATTTCTGAGATTGTGAAAAAAAAAAAAAAAAAAACAGAAAATGAGGTTTTGTCTTATTCTAACATCTGCGAACTATTTAGTCAACGAAGTCTTTCGCGCACGTTAGCAGAGAACCTACCTAGCCCACTGCTCAGTGCTCTCCGTGTTTAAAACCAACGAGGTCGGGGTGGGTTTTATGGTATGCAAAGCAGCTCAACCCTGAAGAAGAAGAAAGTATCAAATTCAAATCCAAACAGTCAAACACACAACGATGGATTTTGAATTGGTGAAGAGTTTCTTGGAGAAAAGCAGCTCCGGTGTATCATCCGAGGATATTGATTCCATGCCTTTCAGGTTCTTCGAGCCCATGATTATGTCAGGCCTTAAAGTAGATCTCATAGAACGTGGTCGCGTCCTTTGCTCCATGAAAGTTCCTCCTCGTTTACTGGTTAGTTAGGGCATCTTTCACTCCATCGATTCAACAAAATGAACGATCTTTGTAACCCTAAGAAATTACTTTGGGGAAAATCAGACACCCTTTAGTTGCTTTGTTTTCAGTGAAATTGAAGATTCAGTAACCAATTTGCTTTTTTCGAAATTATGGATTGAAGAACGTAGGTAATTCCTTGCACGGTGGAGCTACGGCTGCGCTAGTGGATGTGGTGGGTTCGTCTGTAATCATGACAATGGACAGTGTAACGACCACCGGAGTTTCAGTAGAGATCAATGTTTCATACTTGGATGCTGCTTTTGTTGGTGTACGTATCTCTTTCATCTGTTCGTAATTCATTACTATGAACATATCATCCTAATTCCACTTTCTATGATGTTGATTGTAATCCTCTTTATATATGTTTTTATCATAGAATGTTAACATATTTGTGGAAAAAAATTGCTTTTGCCCCATGGAAGATAGTCTCAAGAATCTTGAATCCTTGTTGTATTAGGATTTAGGGAAGAATCATGGATTGCAAACTATATATTATATACAAACTTCAACTTCCAAAAGTATATTTCTATCCCTTGTTCTCAATCATAATTTACAAATCTCGTAAACACTTTTTGGCTTTCTATAGCCAATAACAAATGTAAACTATCTCTTTTTATTTATAACGTTAAGGACTTGAATCTTGATGCAAAACAAGATTTAATCATTCAAAATGGAGGGCTTGAAGCCTTTGAGTATTGCAATGTGCATTTATCAAATGATAAAAAGATTTCATGTTTTGGTTACAGGATGAGATTGAGATAGAGGCGAAAGCATTGCGTGTGGGGAAGGCTGTTGCTGTTGTGAGTGTAGAATTTAGGAAGAAGAAAACTGGAAAAATAATTGCACAAGGGCGACATACTAAGTATTTGGCTGTATCAAGTAAACTATGAACTTTAGGTATCTTCTCATATTGAGTAAGCCCCTTGATCAAAGTACACTATATCTCCTACATGTATCTCTACAAACCGTTTGAATGAAGTATTGTCATTATAAATGATGTTTGACAAATATTTGGGTAAATGGAAGGAAAAATATGAGGGTCCCTCGATCACAATACACTATATCCGTTCATACATATGTCGTTTCGGTAATAATTAAACAGTAAATTAAGATTTTATTCCATTATTTTTTTTATCTACTACAAATACTAGAATTCATTCCAATTCAATTTTCTTACTCTTACACCATGGAAAAAAAATCCAAACACTCCACCAAATCGAAATCTTTGTTCTCACTATATCTGAATTTTGAGTCTCCTTAAGTGCCTTCATGAACTTGCTCCAAGGCTCCCAAATCCCCTAATAAAACCTTTTCCAACATCCTTTACCAACCCAAAGTTTTTCCAACAAACTTTTTACAAACCACAATTCCGATTTCAACAACCAAAGTTTTAAACCTAACAATCTCCACAACCCCACCGAAATCTCCCTATGAAATACCCGACAGACAATTCAGTGAGCACCAATGACTTTCAAAGAAAAAAGTGAAAAAAACAAAGTCCGCTCAAGTGGGACTGAAGGCGTGGGATGAAAATTGGGACTGAGGGCGTGGGATGAAAATGAAGAAACTGCTTTACTGGGTGCTTGGATTTTTGCCTCTCAAGACAACAAAATGAGAAACTCAGTCCAAAGAAATGTTTTATCATTTATGAGCTGATTATAAATCACTTCCACGACGAAGTTAAATGTGTTTACCAGAATAATGACACATTTTCTTCAACGGAATGTACAACCTTCTAAAAAACCAACATAAAAGTTGGAGTAGCGACCTCGACGACATCCTCGCTGAGGCTCTCAAACAATTGTGAGCATCCCAAAAACCACGTAAATCTTTTCGGTATATCAATGTTTGGCATGAGTAGAAGAAGGCACCGAAATAGTTGCTTCAATTGGAAGTTCAAAAGCAATCCATAACAAGCGACCCAAAAATTCTAAAGCAAATAGCTATACCAAACAATCAGACATGCTAAGGCTAAGGGGAGTGGTGACACTCTCATAAGTCTCAACTAATCCTAGAGTGCTTTTAGTTGATTTGCTTTAGTTGAGTTATTCTATTATCTTTTTGGTTGTAAGGGTAGTTTGGTCTTTTTGGTATTATGGTTGTTATTGGTTGTTTTGTTAGTGTGAACAATACCTGATTATGTTGGCTGTTATACCATTTTGTCTTGTCTTTTGTGGTAGTATATATAATCCTTTTGTTTTAGAGAGTCACTAGCTAAGAATTATTATGAATTGAACTTTGTTCTTTCTTGGAGATACCCACATCTCGAAAGTCGGGAATTATCTTAATATCATCACCTATTTCTATTAGAGTAAGGGTTAAAATGCCTGGAGTATAAGATAGATTCAACAAGGGTCTCACACTTTTAGCACCCTGCAACATCATCATTTTAAATGCAACTTCATTTTTTTCCTTTTAACACCTAAACTTAACATTTGGTAAGTAGTGGTAACACTATTAACACTCAATTTTTTTTTCTAATTTAATTTAATTACTATATTTTAATAAACAAACATTTTTTATTTAATATTATATAAAATATATTTTTTGTATTTTCTTTTTGTAATTTAATTTAATTACTTTATTTTAATAAACAAACATTTATTTAATATTAAATAATTTTTATGTATATATATATATATATATATATATATATATATAATATATATATATATATATATATATATATATATATATATATAAGGAAAAGATCAAATGAGAACGTCTAAAAGGTTGAGAACACGAGAACAATTGTAGACTAGGTATTTTATGAGGGCATAAATGCAATTTTACCATCTAATTAAATTATGATTTCCTAAATTTTAGTGATTATGACGACAATTACCCAAAATATCTCTTTTTTTAGATTTTATTTTTTTAATGAACCAATAATTAATAAAATCATGATTTAATGTCTATCTAAGAAAACGTTTTTTTTTTCTTTCATTTTTAGCAATCAAATATCAAGAGAATGGATAATTAATTGGTTTACCTCATTAATTTAAAAAAAAAAAACTTCTTCATAAATAATGATTTATACATTTCATTTATAAATGAATAATATTGTAAATTATAAATGAATTAACTCAGTCGTATTTATGAATACACTTGTAATCGTAAATAAACAAAACATGAAATAAAGATTATAAAATCAACTAAAACGGTAATTGTATATAAATAAATAAAACACATTTCTATTCATATAAGAATATAATTATAGTAGTAAATGAATAAGTTACAATATATATTTTGTTTGACAAGGAAACTAATCCTACAATGACAATCATAAATGAATAAAAACACATTTACACTCTTTCCGAGAGAGGTATTGGTGTCGGTGTTTCATTTGGTAAATCTCCCACCTCCCACTGTATGCATGTTTATTCATTCTATCTGCAAAAATGTTAAAGAAAGAATTATGTATACTCGTCCAAAGTAAATGCTTAACTCATTAATCAAACATAATTTTGATCATAAATGAATAAAACAAAGTTGTAATCATTAACAATAAATACAATTATATCAAAGAGAATAAACCGTTTTTTTGTAGTTTGTTTTTTCAAGTTTTTCAAATATTTTCATAATTCATAGTAAATACTTATGTATGGGACTGAACTGAGAATATCATTTATTTATATCATCAACTTCATTTGCTTGATACCTTTATTAACAGTTTAGTACTTTTCTAAGCTTTTCAATTTCCTATCATATAAAATATAATATTTTCTGGAAATTTATTTAATATTATTTAGTCATATATGAATAGAGTTTTATTTATGTGAATAATATATAAGTTGAAAAAAAAAATCAAAAAATATTAAGGGTTCCTTAGAAAACATAGTTTTATATTCAAAAGGTAAATGGTAAACAAATGAGACCTTTTAATTAGAAAAAATACAGTATTTTACATCAAACGAGAAACAAACGGACATATAATCATAGATGATCATGAATTGTAAACCGAAACATACCTTGGTCTTAGGCTTCAACATCGAATTGAAAATTAAGTCTTGATAACCCATTCTTTTTGGTAAAGATGATGTATTTGTTGAAATACAGCCAGACTCCGTTGTTTCCAACCTCATCCGCTTCCACGACCGCTTTCCTACCCACCTACAACCTTCCTTCAATTCAACCATCCATCTTCGCTGCCCAATCGCCAAACTCATCCTTTTTCTCTTAAGCACCAACCGGAGAGTTGCAATGGTCCATGACTTTCTGATTTCGTATGTCGTTCAAGACGTGAAAACAATACCAAATGCCGAGTCTAACATCTTTAGACCATCTCCGCTTTTGACTTCTTCTGGAGAAGCTGTGAAAGAATGAACAGTCCTTTCCTAGTGGACCCGGAAATGCTAAAAACGACTCTCGTCCAACGATGGATGCTTCTCGTTGTAGTTTAAGTTGCTGAAGACGTTGTGATGGTTGTTGATAAGATGGAGAGGCAGAGAAGATGGCAATGGTGTTTTAGAGAAGATGGCGGCTGGTATAAGGTTATATACTACGGTTTGATGTGTGAAAGTACAAAGAGGATAAAAAACAAGAGAGAGAGAGAGAGAGAGAGAGAGAGAGAGAGAGAGAGAGAGAGAGAGTTAATTGTAAGGAACTAATTAAAATGAATTTACTTGCATGCCCTTTATGTTGATACCTTATTTACATTTTGATATCCGTAGTTTTAAATTTGACATAAATGGCCTCTTTTATCTTAGCCCTACTTCTATTAATTTGAATGGTTCAGAAATGTTCTCGCGTTCTCAATCTTTTAGGTGTTTTCATTTCATACTACTCCTATATATATATATATATATCACACAAACATTTTTTTTTAATTAATGACATAAATTTTTTTAACGACAAACACTTCATTTTAAATGATTGTCGATAACATGGCGGTGATGGAAGGTTTGTTGATTGAGTGTTTGGAGGTGGAAGGTGTAGTGATGGAAGGTTTGAAGATTTCTTTTTGTTGGTTCTTGGGGTTTTTTTTTTTTTTTTTTTTTTTGTTTGAGATGAAGACATTTTTTGTGTTGGTGAATTGAGATAATGATATTTTGTGTGTGTGTGAAATGTTTAGAATGTGGTTTGATTTATAGTAGTTGAATGGTAGATGAATTTTTTAATTTTTATTTATTAGAAAATGTTTTTTTTGTGTGTGTGTGTGAAAGTAGTGAAATGGTATTATAAATTTTGAATTTTATTATAAAAAACGTTTTTTTACTATCGAAAGTAAATGTGCAATTGAATTTTGTGGAAAATAAATGAACTACTGGAAATTAAAATGGTAAATTAAATAAAGTGGCTGGGAAAAGGAGTCAAACTATTTGCATCTCATTCAATTCCTCTGCACCAATCAATTTCTTCCACTGTCTTCTCTTTCTACTCGCCATGCAATTGAGGAGTATCTCTTGGCGAGTCCTCTAGCGAGAGCTAGGGGGCGGTGTTGTCTTGTTTATAGTGAGCCTTGGTGACCCGGTGGCGAATCTCACTCCGTTCAGCCTAAACATAATCAACCTCAATGATGAGATGGACATTCAAGTGGAAAAACTTCCACATTGACCGGTTTGAAGGGATAGAAGTGTCAAGATCGAGTCAAAAAAATTTGAACTCAAACGAAATGACTTTCTTATGTAAAAGTTTGATTGTTACATTCAACTTCAAGAGCAAAAGGCGGGGATAATGGAGGATTGTGTCGGTGAAAGACGAATCTACAATAAAATACAAGGAGACAAGTTTATATTTAGTTTATTATATAATTTTTTTATTTAAATTAAGATAACCTATTTTTTTTTAATTAAATCTCGTGTTTTTAATTGTTTCATTTATTATTTAATTTTTTGAGCAATTCAAATTATGAGAAAATTTACTGATGTGGAATAGTGAGTACCCATAATGGGTGGTGGATTTGGTGTTGAAGTAGCATCAGTGGTGTAGTGACGTGGTGAGAATTCAACTATGTTTAGAAGTTATCATTTTGACCGTTTTCCAAATCACTTTTTGTATACATGCCATATGGGGTTAACAAGCTAATATCCCATATAAAATATTTGAGTTGATAAAATAAGTAACAGATAAAATAAGTACTACACTTATTAATTTTGATGTAACATATTGACTTGGAGAATATCTCCAATTGTTTATTGTACCGAGTTTATATGAGATTTATTTCACATTTGGCTGATATATTTGAATATTTGATTTATTTGATTATTTGGATATTTAACCTATACGAGTTTATGAATTGAATGAGATTGTTGATTAAAAACACATGTAACTCACTATGGACTATACATAGTGGTGCTATGCATAGTTGTTAACTCGTGACTCGACTTGTAAATCGAAAATGAAAATTTCTACTCGTGACTCGACTCGTAAGAGTCATGATATATATATATATATATATATATATATATATATATATATATATGTGTGTGTGTGTGTGTGTGTATCACCTTTTCACCTTATTATATAAAAACTCAATATTTATTTAAAATACTTAAATGTTTGTATTATGTAAACAATTCCAAGAAACTCCAACTGTCCTCCATCCACTTTAATTACCAATTATGCCTTTTGGTTTCTCCATAAACCTATTGGTTTTCCCAAAAACATTTTCTACCAACATTTACTCTATTTTATTCTAAGAGATATACATCGCCTCAACTCTCAATCCTTGAAAATCTTCTCATTTGCTTTTCTAGCTTTACTCCTATCTCTATTCTCACCTGTAGAAGAAATCGAGCCTCCTCCTAACCTTGGAAGGCCACGCGGAAGAAAAAAACATAGCAGGTTGAAGAACAAAACTATATTAAAGGAGAAGTAGAAGTCAAATTCCACACTGAAAGAGAAAACATGGAACTTGAGAGAGTTTTGTATGGTATTGATTTGATTTCCTCCAACCCAACATTAGTGCTTTCTAAAATAGCAATGGATTACATGCTCGATTAATTATCAGTTGGTCATATACTCGTCCGAGTCACGAGTTGACTCGACTCGGTACGAATCAAGCCATAACTTGTGAATTTTGACCGAGTCGAACAAGAAATGAGTCAGCATACGAGTCGCCTCGTTTTTGGGTGTTAAATGACTCGATTCGTACGAGTCACTCGTGACTCG